CCCACCCAATTACAGCCGGCATACAACAGGCGGACAAGTGCACAAACAGCAAAAAAAAGGCAAATGTATACAAACAAAACGTACACAAAAATAAACGGAACAACAAAGATTGGTGGAGATCAAGTGCAACAGTATGAAATGAGACTCAGACGTAAATATTGAACGGTGCCTTCGATCTCCCTGAGAGCGGTGGGGTGGCTTGCTGAGTCGACTTTTGTCCACTCTTTGGTGGTGTGTAGAGGCGGTCGTAGACGCTGAGTCGCTGTCGCACGCTAGCAGGTGCAGTGCTGTTGTTGTTCACATTGGAGGAATTCTCCTCCGAGTTGGGCTCCACAGTGGCCTGTGTACGTGATCGGCTAAACCATGCACGATTCCGCCCGTTTTCGTCAACAACAGCCGACGGTATTGTCGAGGTCGTTAAGAGTCGCGTAAAAACACCCCCCGCCTCATTGCGTGGAGGATTCGACGCGACATTTCCGTGTTGATCGTTATGGTGGTGAGAGCTGTGGATGCTTGCGTCCAGTGAACCCTCAGCGTTGTACTGGGCACTGTTGTACGCCGAGCCGTAGGCAGGAGCTGCCCCGCTATTCCATCGAGACTGCAGTACGTGAGTTGTCAAACGCTCCGTCCTCTGCGAACCACGTGGCGAAGACGGTGCGGCTGGTGGATTAAAGTAACGGTCCTGCCGCATCAACTTCGGCTCCTGCGGCGAAGCATGCGCTGCTGGCAACGGCAACAGCGGCTCCTGCGAGGGCTGTGAAGCGCATGGCACCGGCAGCGGTGTTGGTGCCATCCGAATAGCTGCTCGATCAAGCAATCGTTGTGCCTCACTCATGACATCAGCTAGACCCATCGAAAACGACTCATCAGTACCACAGCGCTGCATGGTGCGGAATGCTGCATGGTGCCGTAGTTTCACTAAGTCAGTGAGAAGCGTCATTATATGTTTTTCCTCAAATACTGACGGTGCCATTACCTGAGGCTGCTCGGTTGATTCTTTTGCTGTTATTGAAGACACTTCCGGGAACTGCGATGATGCCGAGCGCATCTTCGCTCGTCGTCGTTCCAGAAGAACTTTTTCGACGCGTTCCGCCAAGGTCGATAAATCCTCCTCCTCCTCTTCATCATCATCGTCTTTTCCTGCGTTTCCCTCTTCTTCATCGCTAGAGTAAAGGGCAACATGCGCAAATCTGCCAATCTTCTTTGGATTCCTTCCATCTATAGGGGCCCATACAACCCCTGTTTCATCATCTGTGAGCCTGAACACACCTTTCCTCAAACCTCTACGTGCCTCGCCTCTCAAAAGCCGGCAAACCTCATGCTTTAAACGACCAAGATGGTCTGTTTCGATGTTAGGTGGAGCTGCGGCACCAGTCTTTGGTGGCGCCAGACAGGAAGAGAGTACCATCGGGGTCTTATCCACAACACGTCGCAACACAATGCGAGGAATATCTGTGAGAAACACATACAGGTCGTACCAGACTTTCGGGCTCACCATCGGTGACTGTATCGCCTTTACAAGACTTGACAACTCCGTCTCAACGCCTCGCTCCAACGAAGGCGGAAGAATTAGTCCAATTGCACCCATTGTAGGATCCTCTTGTGGACTGAAATATGCAGCTGCTGGTGAAAATGGCGACGCAACGTCCATGTCCTTTGACGCTATGGGACTAATCATCCCCAGTGCATCAGCGATATGGCTCGTCATGGGTGCCCCCGCACGACACGACTCCTCCCACATGCAACTGTCTGTCTGTGTGGCCCGCGTCTCGGTAGGGCGGTCTTTTTTAACACCACTTGCCGCGGAACTCACCGGGTGCTGAAACCCTGTGGTGTGCCTGGCAGTGCGCTGCCCCATTGCCAGGTCACTTCCACCAGATAGCTGCAGCATCCCTATTGCCGCAGCGGTGACCTTCTCGCGTGGATCTCGAGGGGGAGGCGACCCCTTGGAAGTTTTTAAAGCACCTATGTGGTTGTTGTTATCCTTATGGTTGGCGCTTGACTCTCGTCGCGAAGTCGCGCTGCCACGTGAGCGGTCAGGCCTTGCTGCTGGTGTGTAGGGTGTTGATGCATTGGGGCGATGCCTCGAGCCAGTGCGGTCGGTGCGCGGGAGGCGGGACGAATGCCTTCCACGACGTGGGGACATCGATGGACGCTGGAGGTACATCAGCGACATGATACTCACGATACCGAACCCAGCCCATATCAGCTTTTCCTTCTCCATCGGTAGAAAGGCAGGCTGGTTCTCCTCTTCGTGTGTTGTCCGTACTAATTCAGTCTCTACCGCGTTGCGAACGCAACGAAATACACCAGGAGTCTGCAGGAAAGCACCAGCAGTTAGAAGACTACAAGAACGGGGGAAAACAGATCAAATTTCCATGCTTTCAACTTGTACAGGTCTTCAGGTAAAGTTACTTCACGTTCTCAGGAATACCAGAAAACACAAAGACAAGACGACAAGAAACATTTTTAAAAAGTAATAATTACAGTCCCAAATAGCATCAGCCCCACTACAAGGCCGCCACCTGAGGGTGCATCACGCTCCCCAGACGTTGCAGGGCGATTCCGGCCGCCACAGACACAGGTAGTCCAGCGGCTGCGGTGGCAGATGCATCCGCGAAGTGATCACTTGGCAGGAGAGTGAGCAGCCTTTTACAGCGCTGCAGAAGATGAAATGGAGGCAGAATACCTTCCTGTGGCACAAGTAGTACAACACCACCTTGTGCCGCCTCGCGAAGTCTCTTTTCCGTGTCACAAAGACTCAATGCAAAGCTTCCATCACGTATATGTGTCTCATACCAGGACAACGACGCGGTGGAGCTCCTTGTCTGTCTACTCCCAGCGTCTCCCTGCATGGTAGTGTCTTCAAATGTATCCGCGTAGAGGAACGCGTGCCCGCAATCAAAGAACCACCAGGTGGAAGGCACACCATTGGCTTCCTCCACGCGCTGATAGAGGGCTGCCGCCCACGTCTCCTCGTCAGCACTGTTGACTTCGTCATACGATGCTCCCATGTAAACCGGTGGCGTGTAATGCTGTGTGCCAATTGTTCCAACAACATTTATTTTCTTCCGCCCAAAATAGCAGACCTGATCAACCAAAAACGCATTAGCACTACGGATGATACCACCAAGGCTACGCTGATCGGTTCCATTTTCGTACAGCACCGAAAGTCCGAATCGGGCCCCGGATAGGGATGACGATTCCTTTGAACAGAGGCGCAACAACAGTTCCCGGAGGTGCCGATGGAACTCAACAATACCAGTTATGCTCCTCTTGTAATACAAGGGATGAATAGGTCTTTGATCCACACGCGACAGCCCACCATGAGCAGCCGTCGTTGGTAATTGCTCCTGAAAGCAACACTGATACGCACGCAGGGCTTCCCACTCACTGCTGCCCTCAAGGCGTCTCCCACCATCGGAATTTGCGTTCAAAGTCCTCGATAATGGGTAGTGTGCGTCCAGCAAAGCGTAGAACAGAGCAATACCCATGGAGGTTACAACGTTAAGAGAACTAATTGTTCCATACTGCGGGACATATAAAACCCGTTCCGCACAGCAGTTGCCGTCGACACCACGCATATCTCCCTCACCAATTCTACCGAGATATTTTTCACTCACGCCATTGTTCTCATGGCCGACAACGAGCCGTGCTGCTGATGGAAAACGGCACGCGTAAATGCTCTCCGACCTGTACGTATAATTCTCCAGCGCCACAATAGGAAGGTGGCATGATGCAGGCGAATGGAGGAAAGAGTCTTCGCCAAACAGGGCCACCTGACTCAACGCCATGCTGAGGTCTGTCGAAGCTTCTGCGCCCATCTCCGGTTTCCCTGCACCATGACGAGGACGCAAACAATTTATTTCCTCTAGACATGTTAGGGAGAGGAAATACGGTGGGACCGCCGTGCCAAGGAACATGCATGTGCGTACAGCGTTCATAGCGTTGAAGGCGCTCGTGCATCCTTCCAATCCAACAACTAAACGTGAAAGAAGGCGTTCCTGCGGCCACCCGCTGCGAAGCCGCTCCGACCAACGCGTCAATCGATCACCGTCCACAACGCCCCGCGGCGAAGCGGAGGACTGCCGCGCCCTCACCACGGTGCGACCCACCCGCAGCAGCCGGGGGAACGACAACATCAACGCGCACCGTTACGTCCTGGTCCTTTTTTGTTGCTGCTTCAGACATACAGCACTGAAGCTGCAGCTGCTACGCGGACTCTTGCAGCAGCCTCGTCAACTTCAGTGGACGAGAATGTCATCAGGAAACGGGCAAAGAAGAAGTGAAAAAAAAAAGAGGAAAAAAGCAAACAGTTACCCCGGCCGAGACAAAAAGGAGGCTCATGGGGCCACGAACGACACGCAGCTCATTTAATATTCCTTCGCGTTTCAAGAGAAAACGAGCGAGGACGTAGGAATCACAGGAGGGAAAAAGAAGGAGGTGTGTGACCCGTGGAACAGAAGTGACTCTCGGCAAATGTGTGTCTTGTTCCACCTTACAACCTTCCATTTTCCTACACACGTACACACACAACACACACAATTTCACTTCGTTCTCATCCGCTACAGCTGACGATGACAACCACAACGCTAACCGGCGTTTCCCACACCACATCGCTTAAAGTTTTGGCTTGATGTACGTATCAGTGCATCACTCATTTCTTCCTTCAGTTTATCCCAAAAACTTCTTAGTTAATCAAGGGAATTTAGTGTCAGCACTTCGTTTCTGTTTCGATCAGGTGATGATACACCTGCACCACGCATCTCCTGCCTGAGTGGGTCATATGCGTGTCGTTCTGGCAAGCACAAGATCCCTATATAGGTGAGCTGCCGTCCCTCTTTACCCCAGAGCACAAAACAAGAGGACAGCACCACATAGGCACACACACACAGACACAGTCACACGCACACTCAATCTGTGTCTACTGCATTTGCATGGTCCTTCTTACTTCGTGTAGCCCCAAGACAAATCTTACCATTCACTTTCTCTTTCCCTCGCCCTGCAGCAAAATTATCAGCATATACATATAGATATATATACATATATATGTATATATATATATATCAGTTTTGTATTTTATTTTTTTCTCTTCTCTCATTGTGATTTTCCCTTTTCTTCACTTTTTTTTGTCGGGTTTCCAGTCGTTCTTCACTTTTTTTCACTTTTTTCTCGCAGAGGCCTCCGTTTCGCTCCAGACGCCCCCCTCTCTCTCTTGTCCCCCGCCGCGCACACGCCGCCCCACCAGCAACCATCAGTTTGGCCACGAGGCGCCGCGAAGCACGGGGAGAAGAAAACCCAAAAAACCCCACACACACACACACACGAAGAAAGAAAAATCGAATGAGCGCACAAAACAAGAAAAAGAAATCGAGCAAGAAAAGAATGAATCGTGAAATGCAGGAAGCACTCAAAGGCAAAGAAAAGCAAGTGCGGAGAAAACACAACATCAAAATGAGAGACTGAGAAAAAAAAAACACATTCATACATCAATGGAGCTTGTTTCAAGACACAGACCATTTTTTCTCAAAAAAAAATTTCAAAGCTTCGTGAAGCAAATCCACACGCTGCCACCCAAGTCATCTTGCCAGCGAGAGGTAAAAGGTGTGTGTGTGTGTGTGTGTATGTGTGTGTGTGTATTCCTGTCGGTGAGGAGACTAATTCTTTTCTCCATACCCCTCCGCGCCTTCTGCATTATACGTAAATGTTTTTTTTTGGTTGTTTGATCTCATTTTTTTTTTTTCGTCGTCTTTCCTTCGCTTCCTAGATCCTTTTTAATGTTAACGAATTAGCTCCTTCACCACCATTCCTCTAGTTTTTTTTCTCTGCCTTCATTGCTGTTGCTTTGTGTTTTTTTTTT